GCAGAAGGATCACTCAAGCCCAGGAGTTTGAGGTTGCTGTGAGCTAGGCTGACGCCACGGTACTCACTCTAGCCTGGACAACAAAGTGAGACTCTATCTCAAAAAAAAAAAAAGTAGGCACAATGCAATGCACGAACAGATTTTTTTCAAAAGAAGATACACATAAGGCCAAAAAAATATGAAAAAACGCTCACCATCACTAGTCATCAGGAAAATGCAAATTAAAACCACCATGTGATATCATATGATGCCTGTCATAATGGCCATTATTAAGCCAAAAAATAATAGATGACATGGATATTCTAAAAAGGGGACACTTCTACACTGTTGATGGGAATGTAAATTATTACAAGCTCTATGGAAAACACTATGGAGATTCTTCAAAGAACTGAAAATAGACCTACAATTCTATGCAGCAATCCCACTACTGAGTATCTACCCAAAGGAAAAGAAGTTATTATATCAAAAAGACACCTGCACCCAAATGTTTATCACCGCACAGTTCATAATTGCAAAGAAATATAAGCATCCTAAGTGCCCATCAATCGATGAGTGGATAAAGAATATATGGTATATAAGCCACAGAATATTTCTCATCCATGAAAAGGAAGAAAATAATGTCTTTGGCAGCAACTTGGATGGAACTGGAAACCACTATCCTAAGTGACCTGTCTCAGGAATGGAAAAACAAGTACCACAGGTTCTCACTTATAAGTGGGAGCTAAACAATGGGCATATAGGATCATAAAGTTATTTAATGGGCACAGGATAAAAAAATTACCTATTGGGTACAGTATATGCTATTCTGGTGGTGCGTACACTGAAGGGCCTGACTCCAGCATTATACATTTCTTCCATGTAATTAAAAACACTTGTGTCTTGTACAGCTACTGAAATTAAAATAAAATAAAAATTTCATAAAAAGAATGAGGAACATTTGACAGGTGTGCACAGAAAATGAGGAGTAGCAATGAAATATACACAGGATGTGCTGTGCAATGATTCCCTAACTTGCCCCCGTGATCAGGTGCAGGTCCTTCCTTAGTCTCAGGTGTGCACTGAGCACAGAGGCCACCAGGGGAGCAAGAGGGGCCGTGCCCAGCGGTACCCACAGCCTGG